ATTACATTGTATTTCCTTTAACCGGTCCAGATGCTTAAACAAGCTTAAAAACATCTGATTATGAGATGTGTTTATGCAAATATACAGTGTACACAGTCATGAAGATTCACACGGTTATGATTAACCTACAAAACTCCCTGTTCAATTCATTTAAGGAACCAATCCCTTGCTCACTAAACCTGAAGTAGATCTACAAGGCTCGGTGCAAAGAATGGTGAAATCCGAGCCCTTCTTTCCAGATGCTAACTCATGTCTCCAGGGAGAGAGGGAGGTCGGAAAGTGCCAAAGAAGGAACTATGCCACATCAGCATGTCTAAAGGTCACAGGGCCAAAGGTCATGAGGGACCTCAGGGGTTACTGAGTTTAAAGTCAACGCGTGAAACGACATTCTCAACCTTCCACGGCAAATGTCTTGAAAAATGTCCAAGAGAAACAATTCAATGAGAAACAAAGTAGCAACAAAGTCTGGTACAATTTGCAGTTTATTCTGATTTAGACAGGAAGCCACCGCCTGGCCGACATTAAACGTCATTAAACACAGTTTAGCAAGACTTCATCTTAAATAGATGATATATACGATATCAAATATGGCGCCCTCTGTGAAAAAGTAGTACATTATTTATAGAAATGTAGAAGGGCAGAGCAAGTCCCGTTGGAGTCGATCCGTCTTCCAGCGCTCTTCTAAAGTCACACATCTACCAGAGAACTGCCTCATGGGTAACAAACAGCACAAGAGCTTATTTATTCTCTAGAAACCAATCAACACGTCAGTCTCAATCTCGTCCCAGGAGATCCGCGTTCCTGCAGACTTCGGTTTCACCTCGAACCAAACACACCTGAGCCAGCTAGTCAAGGCCTCGATCCCGATGTGCATAACATGTAGGATCTTAAAGATGAGTTCATCCCATGACAAAGGTGCTCATCCCTGTCAAAGAACATACCTCACATCACGGATGCAAACCGGGTCTCAGTCAAGCTCTTGGGGTTCATTCAGAAAATTATGGCCTGGTGTGTTTGATCAGAGTTGAAAATAAAACTCGGCAGGAGGAACTAGGTTATGTAAATATGCTTTATAGCCTCAATAAATGAGTAATACATTATCCAAGCTTCTGTATGGAAGACATCCACTGATAAACGCACCAAACATAGTGAGGGCTGTTGAAGTATCCACACTATTTGTTGTGTTTTCTGTTCAATCATTCACTGTGACTGCATCACCATTACCTGAATTTATTTCCTCAATACTGGATAGCCACATTCACACAGAAACAGAATATGATTGTCGGTTCTGTATCGGTCTTTGTCAGACACGTGGGTTTGTTGTGTGTGACGTCACCGCGGCGCCATTTTTGAGGTATCGCTACTGACTGTGAGCATTGAAGAGATTACGAGAGTAGAGATAACTCGCAAAACTGGAGAAGCACAAAAAAACTGAGAAAATGCCGTACCGCAATAAACTCGATAAATACGGCAGGTACCGTTATTTGGAGAAATTGTCATCCATTCAGAACATAGATCCACATATGAGCTGAGCTGACAGCAGTAAGTTGGAGTGCTGATCCCGCATTGCTTTCTCATCCTCATACTTGGGCATTGTCAACTATCTTGTTTGTGGTATAAGCGCATATAACGTTACCAGTGAACAATTTAAAAACTATAAATCTCTTAAAGCCCGCGGACATTTCACCAAGTTTCTGTATCCTTCGGTAAGAATGTAAATAAATCCTGTAAAGTTAGTAACAGCAAAGATAGGTTTGCTGTATTGATGATGATGTTAAGGATGGTTTAGTTTGAAAAAAGAATGAAAAAAAAAAAATTCTGGCGGCTACGCCCATAATGCACTTCGCGTATCACGAGTGTGACGTCACCTGACAAAGACCGATTTATATGGTTACGTTCACACGCAGTTCAGTCATTGCTAACACTTTATTTCAATGGCCCACTTTAGACATTCAACTAACTCTAAGTAACTTTGCAACTACATGCCAATTAGCAGTCATTAGAGTATTAGTAGACTGTCTGCTTAATATCAAATACTATAGAATTACACAAGACTCGTCCATTGTATTGTTTTGAACGGGGAAAAGTGCAACGCTCAATATGGCGGAATAAGTCCCGCCTTCTATATCAGCGATTGGTAAAGAGCCAATCGGCGATTGGTAAAGTCATCGCGTCACTGCAGCAGCTGTTCCAGAGTCAGTCAGACGCGCTTCCACTGCGCATGTGCATTAGCTTGATCCAGCCTGAAAAATTTCGTTTTCTGTCATGATTCGAGCGTTTAGAAACGAATTTTATGAGACAGTTGTTGTCAGATTTCATTGGTGATTTCAAGTATGAAATTTAATCGTAAGCTTTGCGAACATTTTTTAGAGAATTTGATGTTTCCCCATTCAAAAAGAAAGGAGCTGCACTTGCATGACCGAGAGGGGTTTCAAAGATGGCCGCCGAGTGAAATGACTTGTGTTAAAGGGACTTTGTTTTGATGCTCCCAAACTACTGACTTTCTAAGTAACTTTACAACTACATGTCAACTTAATTCGACTAACCCGAACTCTACAATTCTACTAGAGTCTACTGATACATTAATAAGAGTTAGTTGACATGTAGTTGCAAAGTTTCTTACAGTTAGACTAATGTGGACCATCAAAATAAAGTGTAACCAAGTTTTTTACGAGAGTTACAATCACATTCTATAACTAGAACCTGTAAATGATAATCAAGGAACAAAACTTTTCGGTTTCATGGTCGTCGCCATCTTTGATATTACTTTGGTCACTTTAACTATTGCTTCTGGTAAGAGAATATGTGCTTGACTCCCATAAGTATTTGAAACGCTACTGTCAGCTCCTGTGTGAACGGGACATCGAGACTCGCACCAAATGCGGTCGCCAATCCCAAAAACTAATCCTATTTGGCATCTCCATTTCAGATAAACCCGAATAAACAGTATCTGTTTGCTTGTAAACAAACATCAACATGTCGTTTTTGGCGGCTGGTTCTTGGTTCTCTCCAGATTGAGCTGCAATGCAGACCAGATTGAATGCAGTTAGTCTAAAGTCTGGCTACGGCACACTAGACAAAATCTGGCTTGGCTCTCCCTGTAACGGTATCACTCTCATGGTTTTTTAGCCAGACTGTAGAGGAGGCAGAAAAAGCCGTGTTACATAACGCTGTGTAATGGATCCCAGAGGGTCTCCTGCTGTACTGAATGGACGGGATTGGATCAGTGGGTGTGACAGCACTTCTAATGTTTCTCATGTGTGGAACTTCACAGCACTACTGGCATGCTAGGACTGTCTTTATTAAGCAAAATTATACGGATATTTACATATATGAAGCACTTCTGTTTTATTTGTTATGAATATTGTCTTTTGCACCCACAATGTTCCAAATAAAAAGAGAACAAGAGAAAAAAAAAAAAGTATGTTCTTGGTTTCAACAAATGCTGTTTTTGTAGTGAAGAGTAATTTGAGTCTGAGCAACGGTATTTGGTTATAGCACAATGACCTCTTCTTATGTGTCAAAAGATCAAAGAAAAATTTATTTCTCACATCATGACCCCTTTAATACACGTGTTACTGGTCTTCGAAGTACATTATTTCAAAAGAAAAAAGAAGTTTGTAATCATTCACCAAAATGAAATCATATCTGGCTTAAAGGGAAAGTTTACCCTAAAATGAGAATTAGGTCATCATTTACTCACCCTGGTGTTGTAATGCCGTATGCCCTTTTTTATGCAAAAGGAGAATGAAAAAATAAATGTCCCGCTCACACTCGTCCATTTAATGGCAGTGAATAGCGACCAGCATCAAGCTTTTTTTTTTTTAAAGACGCAAAAGTATCACAGAATGATCCCATGTACATTACCACTCAAAAGTTTTGGATCGGTAAGATTTTTTATGTTTTTAAAAGTAGTCTCTTCTGCTCACCAAGGATGCATTTATTTGATTTAAAAATAATAATAATAATAATATTGTTAAAACCTATGACAATTTAAAAAAATAATTTTAATATATTTTTAAATATAGCTGAATTTTCAGCATCATTACTCCAGTCTTCAGTGTCACATGATCCTTCAGAAATCATTCTAATATGCGGATTTGATGCTCAAAAAACATTCATTATTATTATCAATGTTCAAAACATTTCTTTGATGAATTATTCAATTCTTTGATGAATAGCAAGTTCAAAAGAACAGCATTTATTTGAAATAGAATATTTTGTAACATTATAAATGTCTTTACTGTAACTTTTGGTCAATTTAATTCATCCTTGATGAATAAAAGTATTGATTTCTTTCATTTATTTCCCCCCCAAAATAAAATAAAAATACTTCCTGACCCCCAAACTTTTGAACGGTAGTGTTTAATGTTACAAAAGCTTTCCATTTCAGATAAATGCTGCTCTTTTGAACTTTCTATTCATCAAAGAATCCTGAAATAAAAAATGTAAATAACCGTTTTCATCATTGATAATAGGCCTAATGTTTCTTGAGCATCAAATCATATCAAAGTGATTTCTGAAGGATCATGTGACACTGAAGACTGGAGTAATGATGCTGAAAATTCAGCTTTGATCACAGGAATAAATTACACTTCACTATATATTCACATAGAAATCAGCCGTTTTAAATTGTAATAATATTTCACAATATTACTATTTTTTAAAAATTTTTAATCAAATAAATGCAGCCTTGGTGAGCAGAAGAGACTTCTTTTAAAAACATTAAAAATCTTACCGATCCAAAACTTTTGACTGGTATATTCCAAGTTTTCTGGGAGTATGGAAAATAAATGTTGTGTATTATTTAACGAAAATCCTGACCTTGGCCATTGGTTTTCTGTGCACAGCGCACGTTCATGAGACTCTATCCGCACTGCAGTTCACTAAATGATGACTTGATTTTTTTTTCAGGGTGAACTGTCCTTTAACTGATAAATAATGGATAGTAGAGCATCTACACTCATCTTGAAACAAGTCCATCACATCACACATCTTACCTGGACAGGTGTTTCTTGCACAGGGATAACCTCAGGTTCAACTGCAGGCTGTTCCTCTACAACACCAACTTCCTCAATCACAGGGGCGACGGCAGCGGGCTCTTCGTTTTTCGGCTCAACAGCTGCCTTCTCCTCAGCCTTAATCTCTGCCTGTTTGAGCAAAGAGAACAGCAAACACACTGTTACCAGTGAGGTAACACACGAGTACCTAATTAACTTAAAGAGATAGTTCACCCAAAAATGAAAATTAGCATATACTAACCCTCAAGTCATCCTAGGTGTACATGACATTATTGTGTTATATTAAAAAAAAATCTGGCTCTTCCAAGCTTTATAATGGCAGTGAATGGTTGTTTCTGTTTTGAAGTCCATAAAAGTGCATCTATCCATGATAAAAGTGCATCTATCCATGATAAAAGTGCATATCCATGATAAAAGTGCATCTATCCGTGATAAAAGTGCATCTATCCGTGATAAAAGTGCATCTATCCGTGATAAAAGTGCATCTATCCATCATTAAAGTGCATCTATCCATGATAAAAGTGCATCTATCCATGATAAAAGTGCATCTATCCATGATAAAAGTGCATCTATCCATGATAAAAGTGCATCTCTCCATCATAAAAGTGCATCTCTCCATCATAAAAGTGCATCTCTCCATCATAAAAGTGCATCTATCCATGATAAAAGTGCATCTCTCCATCATAAAAGTGCATCTATCCGTGATAAAAGTGCATCTCTCCATCATAAAAGTGCATCTATCCATCATAAAAGTGCATCTATCCATGATAAAAGTGCATCTATCCATCATAAAAGTGCATCTATCCATCATAAAAGTGCATCTATCCATCATAAAAGTGCATCTATCCATGATAAAAGTGCACCTATCCATGATAAAAGTACATCTATCCATTATAAAAGTGCATCTATCCATCATAAAAGTGCATCTCTCCATCATAAAAGTGCATCTCTCCATCATAACCATCATAAAAGTGCATCTCTCCATCATAAAAGTGCATCTATCCATGATAAAATGCATCTATCCATGATAAAAGTGCATCTATCCATTATAAAAGTGCATCTATCCATCATAAAAGTGCATCTATCCATCATAAAAGTGCATCTATCCATCATAAAAGTGCATCTTTTGGGTGAACTATCCCTTTAATATTAAAAATGTCAAACGGGTTGGAAACGACATGACTAGAGCATCGAAAAATGTTTCTTAATTAAGAACAAATTCCATATTTAATAAACATAAATAATAATAAGAAGAACAGAAGTAAATTGAACTGAAATCCAAACAAGAATTTTCTGATACAAGAATATTCTAATATCAACCAGAATTTGGTCATATTCCAGTTATGTCATGCAAATACATGAACCAGCCACAACCAGATAAAGTAAATAAAAATATTATACTTTTTGGAAATCTTTCATATGCCTGTATTAATCAGAATTTTGGGTCGTATAAACACCTTATTCCTAATATCCATAAACATTCATTTATACATGCGCATGACCAAACAAAGGTAATTGTCGGTGATATATTATATAAAAAAAAAAAAAAAAAAAACAGGAGATGAAAAATCAATCTATTGATGTAATAATTTTTTGGAGCATGGAAGATTTTTTTTTTTTTTTTTACAAAGCCAGAGCCATAATTTGGACTTTAAATGGAAAATGATCTCCATGTAAACATGGTTATTGTATAAAACTAAGAATGTATTAGAAGTCCACCAAAGTGAGAAACATCAACATTGCAAAACCGCTACAAAATGTTATCAGTTTTGTCCGACTGGAGCTCTGAAGGTGATTTTCAACAGCTCTGTTCTCGTGAACTTCATGAAGATCATGTGTGTCACACACACCTGTGTTCAAGACTCCTTGAGCTCTCAACTGCAGCATGTTACACAATATACACTTTTAAATATAGTGGATATACGTTTGAAGCCATATATAGAAGGACCCTGATGTTTGCCACTTCTAAAGCTCTGGTTACAGCTGTGGTGGCACATTCTAAGTCGAGACCAAACGCATGCTCACATGAAACCCTCCTGAACTCTAGAAGTCCACTACTGTGATGTTTAAAAGAGGCGGAGCACAAGAAACCTTCTGTACTGGCGGCCAGGGCCGTAACCACCATATACACGTCCAAGCGAAGATGTGCATCAGGTGTGCTTTGCTTTTTAATTAATTTATGAAGCCACTGCTAAATGTTATCGTTACATATTATATTGTTATATTATAATGCCATCGTATTCTGTGCAGGCAATTAGCTTACTTCGCAGTAATTCGAAAATCCTGACATTATCACTGCTAAATACCTTAAAGTATTGTGGTATTCCGCCATGTTTCTCACTGTACGCCCCCAACTCGCAAAGATCGGGCCTTAAAGAAAATCCCGAGCTTCCAACTCGTATCTACGACATTGTGGATGTTACGATCTTTACGAGATGACTTGAACGCACCATAATAGCAATATCAAAATGACTGAGATGGCCAATCAAATCAAAGGCGGCGGGGCTTGACGTTCACAGAAGATGTGTGCAAATTTTGGATGGGTGAATGGATGGATGGGTGTGTTAACCGATGGATGGGTGAATAGTTGGATGGATGGGTGGATGGATGGGTGGGTGAATGGATGGGTGAATGGTTGGATGGATGGGTGGATGGATGGGTGGGTGAATGGTTGGATGGATGGGTGAATGGTTGGATGGATGGGTGGATGGATGGGTGGGTGGATGGATGGGTGGGTGAATGGATGGGTGGATGGATGGGTGGGTGAATGAATGGATGGGTGGGTGTGTTAACCGATGGATGGGTGAATAGTTGGATGGATGGGTGGATGGATGGATGGATGGGTGAATAGTTGGATGGATGGGTGGATGGGTGGGTGAATGGATGGGTGAATGGTTGGATGGATGGGTGAATGGTTGGATGGATGGGTGGATGGATGGGTGGGTGGATGGATGGGTGGGTGAATGGATGGGTGGGTGAATGGATGGGTGGATGGATGGGTGGGTGAATGAATGGATGGGTGGGTGTGTTAACCGATGGATGGGTGAATAGTTGGATGGATGGGTGGATGGATGGGTGGGTGAATGGATGGGTGAATGGTTGGATGGATGGGTGGATGGATGGATGGGTGAATGGTTGGATGGATGGGTGAATGGTTGGATGGATGGGTGGATGGATGGGTGGGTGGATGGATGGGTGGGTGAATGGATGGGTGGATGGATGGGTGGGTGAATGAATGGATGGGTGGGTGGATGAATGGGTGAATAGATGGGTGGATGGATGGATGGGTGAATTGATGGGTGGGTGAATAGATGGGTGAGTAGATGGATGGATGGGTGGGTGGATGGATGGGTAAATGGGTGGATGGATGGATGGGTGGGTGGATAGATGGATGGGTAAATGGGTGGATGGATGGGTAATTGGGTGGATGGATGGGTAATTGGGTGGATGGGTGGGAGGGTAATTGGGTGGATGGGTGGGAGGATAAATGGGTGGATGAGTGAATAGATGGATGGATGGGTGAATAGGTGGGTGGATGAATAGATGGGATGGACGGGTGAATAGATGGATGGATGGGTGAATAGAAGGGTGGATGGATGGATGGGTGAATAGATGGGTGGGTGAATAGATGGGTGAGTGGATGGATGGATGGGTGGGTGGATGGATGGGTGGGTGGATGGATGGGTGGGTGGATGGATGGATGGGTGGGTGGATAGATGGATGGGTAAATGGGTGGATGGATGGGTAATTGGGTGGATGGATGGATGGGTAATTGGGTGGATGGATGGGTAATTGGGTGGATGGATGGGTAATTGGGTGGATGGATGGGTAAATGGGTGGATGGGTAAATAGATGGATGGGTGGGTGGATGAGTGAATAGATGGATGGACGGGTGAATAGATGGATGGATGGGTGAATAGATGGATGGATGGGTGAATAGATGGATGGATGAGTGTAAATGGGTGGATGGGTGGCAGTTGCTGCAGAATTGTTGGCTGCACTTCCATGATGCAAATCTCCCATTCCACCACATCCCATAAGTGCTGTACGTACATAATATTCCAAAACGTTTAACGTAAACATTGATCAAGTACAAATAACATAAGGACTTTACGCCCTCTCAACTTTATGAAAAGTAAAAACATTAAAGACGTTCCAATGTTGTTGAACGTTTCTCTAAACATCATGAGCCAAATGTTCCCAGAGAGTTTAGCTAGCGTTCTCATTAATTTACAAAAACAAAAAATTTCTGAATGTTCACTGAAAACTTTTAAAAACTTTTTTCGTGGTTATGCAAACGTTAAGGGAACATTTTGCAAACATTATGGTAATGTAACTTTTCAATGTTCTCTGTGCGTAAAACAAGTAGTAACATTTAAAAACCGTTAGGCGAACATCTAACTAAACGTTTCAGGTAAAAGACCTTCCATGAACAATATATGCTTTTGTGACAACTTTTTGAGAACATTATTAAAGACCAGATCTGAACGAAAACGGAGAGAACTTTGAGAGAACCTTGCCACAAAGTTAATTTCAAATTATAAAGTTGTAAGAATGTTCTATAAAAGTTATTTAAAGAACGTTTAACGAACGCTGATAAGACGGCGTGTCATTTCCTCGAGGCCAAAGTCTCCAGACTACATAATTTACACAAACTAAATAAAACACAGCGCAAAAATGATCCCAGCGCGCATCTCACCTGTACAGGTGTTTGTTGCACCGCGATGACTTCAGCTTCTACAACAGGAGCGACTGGAACGGGCTCTTCCCTTTTCTTTTCAATAACCAGCTCCTGTACGGGGGCAGCAGCAGCAGCAGGAGCCGGAGCCGGGGAAGGTCGCTCCTCTCTGGGCTGCTGATACGCAGAAACCCGCTCTGATCTCTCCTCGTGTTGTTTCTGTTTCTGATCTTTTTTTTGCGCCGGTTTCTTCGCCAGGAGCGTCGATGCAACTATAATGGCAATGATCGTAAAGAAAAGTGCGGACAAAATAACAGGCACGTCAATATTCATGATTGCCTGCGGTTGACGTTGTTGTTAGTAAGATGAAACTGTGAGTTTGAGCGGTTTCTTGTGTTTGCATGTGAAGCGGACGGATTACGCGCCTCAGCTCGTCCCGTTACAGCTCGTCTGAGCGACAGATCTCATGAAGCCCATGTGCGAGAGACGCACTCCAGAATGGCCGTGTCTTAAAACCTAGTCAGCTGCCTACATAGACAGCATCCTGCATGGGGCGTATTGGCCTATAATATGAAGACGCTCAAAACAAATTAAATGCATTATGTAGCAGCTTTTTTAGAAAATCCATAACATTTCAACATTCATTTTTATAATATAATAGTGCTAATAAAAATAATTGAATCAACCTGATAGTACAGCCTACAAGCGCAACTTTCATGATTCTAAAGGTCTGGCTGATGCCCATAAATGCTAGTTAGGAAGGTTATTGGGATTTGAGACACGACCAGTGACTCTCAACACAGCGTCACTCCCTACAGGACAGCCCACTCTTTTTAAAGGAGCATCGACGAAACACTGGGCTCTTCTTCCTATATTTTGAAAAGGAACATGTATGGTTATTATAGCGATGGAACACTGTACACACGTCCCACTACTAAACGTACTATATATTTTAGGAAAATATAGAGTTATATTCGTCTGAGGAGGACTGCCATGTAAATAGCAATGGGTTTTGGTGCAGATTTTAGAGTAGAATTTTCCTGCAGTTAAATCATCACTCTCTTCAACAGCATTAATAAATTACATTAAAAACAGCGTATCTTAAAAGGAACAATTTCATATTTTCTTAACAAAAGGATGTTATTCCAGATAAATGCTCCCCTACTGATTTTTTTTCAACAAAAGTTTAGATTCACAAGGTTTATAATCACGTTTAATAATTAAATTTCGCACGAAATGGAAGTTGCGATAGTGTTTTCTTTCCTATAGCGACTGTATATCCGAGAGAAACACATCTGGAACAAGAACAGATGTAGGGCGGGGCTTGATTTTCTCCATGTGGATTTGATTGGATGGTTGTGGTTTGCTATTGGGTGATCTCATGTGAGTGACAGGTTGCCCCGCCCTCACGCCAGTAAACACATCATCAGAGAAAAGGAGGTTATTGTGAATATAGATTACGAGGACAAGATTTAAACGAATAATGATGTGCAAGGATATATCATTTATAACAAACACTGCAATACTCCTTTAAAAACAAACTTGACCATTTTGATTGCATGATGACTTTAAATATATCCTTGTGGAAGTTGCATCACGTCATTTTGTAAGTCGAGTTAAATGGAAATAACTACACTCTTTCATGTGTGGTGTCCAGAAAGTAACCTAAAACAAATATATTAATAATTTCAAGACATGTTCTCCTTAATTTATTCCATTGAAAAATATTTGACCTCTTTAAAAGTTCTGGGATAAAAGAGAGTAGATATTCCACTGATTTATGGTGGTTGGTGCGTCAAATCTTTTGAATTTACCTTATCATAAATAACCACGATGACGCATTAAGAGGAATTATGAGGTTATGTAAGGGTCAAAAGTAATCAATCAGCCATGGTGAATTGGATGTAACATCATCACACCCTACCCTAGACAATATGCAAAGACAATGACTGCACCAAGACAAATACATAGAAACTTTTATTAAACAATCATCATCATTCATTTTGTTTTGATCTCAGGGTGTCACATGACCGAGCCATTGAAGACGACGGATCTGAAGCAAAGAGAACGGCAGGCTTCATCCATCGTTTTAAATCGTAATATTAGCCATTCAAATCTGCAGCTGAGAAATGAGATATGAGAAATACGAGAGCTCAAAGCAACCAACATCAGGTAAAAATAGGCACTTTTTAACCACATCTTTCTTCTGTGATGCGTTACACGTGGTTCCCGTCACAAACATTTCAACAACACTCACTCTTGGCCATTAAACGCCTCACGCCCAATCACAACATAAAAGTCCATTATTGTAGCCCTGAAACAAATTTAGGTCATCACAGGTTACCAGTTTTGGATTAACGCAATTACCTTCTGTTAAAAAAAAAAAAAAAAAAAAAAAAAAAAAAACTTTAAGACATTACAGGTTAGTCACTTTTCCCCCTTTCCTCTTCTGTGTGGCTCATAGTGCACTGTATAATAAATAAGCATTAGCGCCCTCTAGTGTTTCACTTACACAGACAAATCCCAGTTTCAGTCAAATCCCACAAACGTGCTACTTTAACCAGCGAACTCAACGCTAATGGACTGTGTGAAGAGTTAAACCAGAACCAGATCAAACCGGACCGAACGCTGCGTTCATAGTTACGACTAGAGGGCTTCTAATTAAACCTTTAGCATCAGTTCTTCTCTAAAACTGTGTGACTTAATGATTTAGTGAAAAAAAGCAGCACGGATCGCAGCCGTTGACCGGTTTTAAGTACTATGGGCACGTTTTCTGCGAACTGAGAGAGAGAGAAACGGCTCAAGAATAACGTTAGAATCAGTAATAAGATAATCGATTTTCTAGGTTCACAGAGTCGAAGGCAGCATTACACGCATCAGGTCCAGTCGTATCACCTCAAGATGGGGCGTGATATTGGACATATAAAAACGGCGAATGAGTGACCTTGGCACTGGGACGTCCGGAGTGTGACGTCGGCAAAGGCAACACGAGAGGGGTTTCCCATCTTTCCCCTCCTCCAGCAAGCACATTATTTGGGTGACTTGTTCTTGTTGATCTCAAAAGGCGCACTAAGGCTGAGTTTTGTTATCACGCGGGTGACGTCACCGGGACGAACTGCGCTCTTTGCTCACGCAGTCGTCCTGGCTTGTGATGTCACCGTTTCCCATCAGGCCACAGGTTTTCCTCTTCTTTCTGCGATGGGTCATGGCGTCCCCCTCGGAGCCCGAGTCGGCCTTCAGGAGGAAAGACAAACGCGGTCACAAACGATGCCAAAATCTCATGAAAACATTCAAAAATATCAATATTTTATGTATAAAATGCATACAATTGAAAAATGTTTCAATATTTCACTGCTGAAAACATACCTTGATTAGGTTTATCTAGATTCATATTGCATTAAAGAGGATCTATTCTGCTTTTTTTTACACGTTCAACTGTCTTTAGTGAAAATAAATAGATTAAATGCATATTATTGCAGGGCAGAAAGGGATCGTGAATATTCATAATTCATAATTCATTCAAATCTGAGATCAATTTATCATTAGCGTTAATAGCACAAATTACAAGTGAAGAACTCGTAGCCTACCTGTAAATGATCATTGTCGTAAATATAGTCCAGAAATAACAAAGAACTGCGATATTACTATTAATACATATCTAATCCATACATTTAAAATCCAATCCATTTCCAATTTTAATACACCGTTGTTCAAAGTTTTGGGCTCTTTTTTGTTTTTGGAAGAAGTCTCTTCTGCTCACCGAGACTTTTATTTGATCACAAATACAGTAAAAACAGTAATATTGAGAAACATTACTACTATCATTTAATACAACTTGTTTTCTATTGTAATATGTAATTTATTCCAGTGATCAAAGCTGTATTTTCAGCATCATTACTCCAGTCTTCAGTGTCACATGATCCTCCAGAAATCACTCTTGATATGATGCTCAAGAAACATTTAATATTAATATCAATGTTGAAAACTGCTTCTAATTGGTCCTCGCTGAATTAAAGTATTAACTTCTTCAAAAAACCTCAACACTTTTGAATGCTAGTGTACACTTAGGCTGTTTAATAAGTATAGAAAATACAGATACAGCATCATTAAAACTTTACTTTGAGGACTGCGAATCATATCTGACATTTCTGACCCTGAATTTGCCAAATAATAACAGTGCATAATGCACGTCTGTACAGCCAGTGTTTTCAAAATCTGCTTATTGAGCGCATAAAGTGCTTTAATCGAATAAATTATTAATGTTGATGAAAACAATGTCATCAAAAGGCTGAAAAATAGAGATTTTTTTTAAATCTTTAATCTTAGTTAGATGTGGAGCTTGGTCACATGGGTCTGTCTGTGAGCAGGCGTATCTGATGTATCTAGTGTGTGTGTGTGTGTGTGGATCTAGAGGAGGAGGATGTACCTCTGAACCGGAGTCGGAGGAGCTGGAGGAGGACGAGGACGAGGAGTCACTGGAGCTGTCCGAGGCGATGCCCGTCGATTCCTGCAGGTCCACTTTATCTGCCAGAGCAGCGATATCTGGCCTTTCCTGTTTCAGGATCCTGAGGCGGCGAAACACATTCAAATCATCAAAAGAAACAATCATTTAGAAAGGCGTGACTGCAAATAAAACAAGATATTTTACTTGGTTTTCTTCACACGTCTAATTTCTTCTTACCACTGACACTTTTATTGGCAACTAAATACACTAACGTTTAGTTAAGAGTTAACTTTGAACTCTTTTGACTAGAGCTGCACGATTATCCTTAAAAGATATCAATTCAAACACTTATTCCTAAATGACAATGATCCACCATATTATGTCTGCTAAAGCTTTGAGAAGCCACAGAGAGACGTTTACGTGTTACTTTGATCAGAATCGCAGGGGAAACACAATCTCTGTTTTAAACAACAACAACAAATTGTGATTCTCAATTTATCCCGAATCACTGCAGCTCTACTTTGGGAAAAATACTTTATTAGGTCTAAAATTGTTTGTTGTGGAGAGAATTATACTATTATAGTTATGAATTATTTTATACAATATGGTTATGAATATTTTTAATTAATTTCTATTTTTATATTATCATTTTCATTTTAAAGTTCAAGTAATTAAAAAAAAATATATATATGTCTATATAGTTTTTATTTCAGTGTTAGTTTAAGTTATTTTAGTACATCAACTAGGGCTGTATTGGCCTAGTCGATTAGTCTATTAATTGGTCGATACCTTCTGGTTCGACCAAAATTCTGATTGGTCGATTTTTTTGCCACGTTCATTTCATCAGTTTTGCTGGGCTGAGGCGTGCTCATTTCATCAGGTGGAAAGCACTAACTGCTAATGGGGCTGTTTTCAGAGTACCCTTGTTTCACAGGTAACAGTCTGTCTTCAGAACACCCCCCTTGTTTTCACCTTTTTTGGATCAGCCCAACCCAAGAGAGAACGATAAGTAGGCTATAGAAAGTTTGATGCTGAATATTATTTATTTAATTGTGAGAGCGTTTAATAGTCAGTCCTCTTCTCACATGTCAACAACAAAGAAATCGACAGTGTGGCAGCATTTTGTTAAAACTGATAACGGGAAAAAGGTCGAATGCAAGTTTGCAAGCAACAGTTTTCCACAGGTCGACGACAAACATGACATATCATCTAAAAGTGGTAAGCTCACTTGTCTGCGTTAGCTTGCTCTGTCTGTTTTGAGTAGGCTATATGAACATATCAGAATTTGCATATTTCAATGTTTTAGTGTGATAACCTAACTTTTTTATTTTTTTATTTGGAGCCTAATGTGCAATGCATTAGGCACCAACAGGTTGGTGTTAGTTTAGAGCCTAAGATGCTTTATTTTTCAGTAGGCCTAATGCACTTTATTTCGTTTCTGCTCTTGATCTGGTTTGTTTAATAATTTTTTTTTTTTTTATTAAAGTGGACGTGCTTTTTGTGTTTATTAAGAGTAAAAGCTTTAAGTTAATAGTCTATTAGTGTCTCAACCGCGAAGCTGAGCTTCAGCCTCGCTCTGACAGTGTCTGACAGTTATAACTTATTATTATAACATATGACAAAAATAATTGTCTAAATTATGTTGCATATTCCTCAACAGTTCTTGTGATGATATCACTATGACAACACTATCTTCGGAAATCATAGGCTATGATATTGCGCAGGTACCCGTGATGCAACGCTGTCAGAGCCGACAGACTCGTGTGTCAGACTCATTTCAGTGCAAAATAATTCGGTCAAAAACGATTTAATATACTGCAAATAGCCCACTAGTTTTTTATGTTTATTTATAATTCATTTAGGAGGACAACAAGGCTACCAAGTACTGCGGACTGTGCGCAGCTAATTAATTTAAGGTTTTTTTTTTCTAACGTCTTTTTTAATCGATTTTAGTCGGAAATTTCAGGACTTCAGTCGACCAAGATTTTCTTTGGTTGAGTACAGCCCTAACATCAACTTAGATAAACTAAACAATTAAAACTAAATGAAAATGAGAAATGTTGCCTTGGCAACTAGATGAAATCAAATAATTTCAATTAAGATATTACATATTTTTTCAGTTAATGTTTATTTTATTTAAAACAACAAAAATGTTGTAGTTTAATTTAACTATGGCTGCTCTTCCATCGTTGGGCCGAACAGTTCTAGATGCATTTCCACTTCAGCGCATTACAAACCGCCCTCGACCTGTAACTCTCTCTCAGCACTGTTGTCTGACGGTGACGTCGCCACTCAGGACTGGTCACATGATGTCTGCCAGTTTCTCTGTAGCTGGTCAAGCGTGCGATTTGAGCAAAGTAAACACAAGTTAACACAAGTTAATAATAAAATGAGCAGAAATATCTGATCATCCTCCATAACGCGGTCTCTATTTACATCTCATATCGTCTGTAAACTCCCGCGTTACAAAGGCAACGACCGATGCATTTGTGACACATTCAAAAGAGCTCCACTATCAGCCCTACGGTGGAAAATTAAATCACATCCGGAAAGAAACGGTTAGGCAAATGAGAACAGTTTGACCCGACGGTGGAGAAGCAGCTAATAATGTCGAGGCTAACATCTACAGGTAAAAGTCATTTGAAAAGTAGTGAATGAAGTTCCGTGTACAGATATCAGACAGCGCAGGGTCTCACCGGTACCACTTCCTGGAGAGCTTGGGCCGGCCTCGCACCGTCTTGTGCCACACGATGGGGAAGTTCGTGGTGCTCGCGAAATTCTGGGTCACAGCAATGGTCGTGTCCAAGTTCAGGACGACATGCCACCATCCGCCTATGAACAACAACACAAAACACACACAAAACCACAGTTCCAATGAGGGCTGCGTGATGTTCACGTCACTGTTCAATAATACGTGCAATAACAATTCATGCTGCAATGATAATACGGTTGACCATGTGCAAAAGTGTTTTCCACACACCATTCAGATCAGAAAGAAGATGGAAAGCACTTGCTAGAGGCACGAAACATCTTTTAGGGTTAGGTAAGTGCCTATTACCAACACAATCCAATCTGAAGTTAATACATCGTTCGACCGGACATAACTGTTTTATATAGGTTATGTGTTTGTACAAGTGATATCAGGAAGCAACGTAATACGCACATGACGACAGGAGGGTGACGGCGATGCCCAAATTGAGCCACCCCTCCCACTTCTACTGGTTTTACTGAGAAATCTTATCCCGTGCGAATTGGCCATGAATATTACAGACGTCCTGTGGTAAAATTGCATTATTCCATCTACCCTTGTAAAGTTAATCCCGTCCGAATAGGGCTTTAGCAAACATCTGTGTGTGTGTGCAGTGACTGACCGGGCACAAACACGGTCTCGCCCGGGTGCTGGAGCACCTCCAGGGGCCTGAATTCGGCCGGCCAGGAGGGCTGCTGTGTGCGGGGGTAGATGACGTTGAACCAGGTGACGGCCTCGTCCTGCTGGTTCCCCCCGTCCTCTCGCGTCACCTTGATGAGCTCACGGGGCGTGTGTGTGGGGAACAGGCACCAGCGCTTGTGGCCCTGAACCAGGGCGTTCCACGCACTCGTGCCGAGCGGGTCGATGTGGATGCCCGTCCCAGAGCGGGCAGGACCCATCACAAACCACCTGGGTGAACAGTGAAAAACAGCCTAAATGGACTGAAAACACATCGACTGTTAGCTACTGTCCGCCGGCAGGGCACAATTATAGGCTCTAAACGCTTATAGAACACAAAAAATTACTTTCCCTCCCTTTTCAGCGAATGTAATAGCAAAAATAATGATATTACATCACATTGTTGTGAATTTCATATTTGGGGGATCAATCAAATTATCTTTCTCCCTTTCAATAAATGTATGACCCAATTAAATAACAAAAATATTTATATTATATTACATTATAATATAATTAATACATTTTCTCTTATAACTTCAATAAAGCTTATTATATTATAACATATTATATTTCCTCTTTAAGGGATCAAATTTATCTAATTCTATTCTATTTTATTTTACCCCTTTTTCAACAAATATAATAGCACAAAAAAATGATATTGTATTATATTATATTAGAGGTCGACGATATATTTAATGCTGTTCCAATTAATTGTAAAAGTAATGACTTGTAAATAATCTTGTAAATCTCTCGCTGTACATTGCTATTAAATAAATATAAAAAATTAATAATATGAAATTGTATTATTTACCCCTTTTCTACAAAGGTAATACTAACAAATTCAATTATATTGAATTTCCACTTTGGGGATCAATAAAGTTGATCTAATTATATTATATTATATTATATTATATTATATTATATTATATTATATTATATTATATTATATTATATTATATTATAAGAAAAGGTCTAAAAACAGTATTAATTGTTACGCTTTATTTTCTAGAAATAAACTTTCAATTTGATTTGTTAAAAATACCAACTATTCATGCCATGCTATACTGTCCTAAGTAAAAATTTAATTTCTAATACTTCTCACTAGAAAAAAGACCCCAAATAACATGGGATTTAAGCCTCTTACGCTTTCTAAAGTAATGGGACACCAAAGTGTAGCTAATCTGTGGCCAGTAAGTGCCATTAGCAGCTTGTTTCATTTCCATCAGCAGAGCTGAAACTGAAAAGTGATGGGCAAGAAGGAAGCGTTACCTGTACGGCGGGCGTCGCTTCTCCCCCGCAAACTGAAAGAGGTCGTCCCTGAAGAAAACGGGCACCTGGTAGTCCTCCAGAAGCTTGCGGCGCTTGGCGTGCTCCCCGAAACTGCTGTCAAAGATGTAGAGGGGGCTGTCGTCACGGGTCGACTCCAGATACTCCACGTAGTACTTCATTTTCATCTTGACAGAGTAGCCATCGTTGTCCTCGCCGCATTTGAACTTCTGGTTGCGGTATTTGCGCTTGAGTCGCTCCAAGGTCCATTTGTCCCGGCCGGGCCACGACTCCTGGCAGTTGAGCAGAACCACGGGCTTGTACGGCTTCTCGAAGCGCTGGATGAACTCCTCTGGACTGAGGCGCAGGGTGTCCACTCGCTCCACGTTGTCCTGGACAAAGACAGTAGAGTTGGTTTCGGTTTCTATAGAGCCTTTGAAAATCCATGTCGTTTCAAAGCAGCTTTACAGAACACCGTACATTAAAGGGATAGTTCACCCAGAAATGAAAATTAGCCCATGATTTACTCACCCTAAAGTCATCCTAGGTGTATATGACATTCTTCTTTCAGATGAATACAATTAGGAGTAATATTACTAAAAAATCCTGGCTCTTCCCAGCTTTATAATGGGAGTGGATTGCAAACATTAGTATGAAACTCTCCGTGATAAAAGTGCTCCACAGGGCTCCGGTGTGTTAATAAAGGCCTTCTGAAGCAAAGCCATGCGTTTGTGTAAGAAAAATATCATTATTTAAAACTTAAAAGCCGTGTGGACCACTTTTATCATGGATAGATACACTTTTATCATGGATAGATACACTTTTATCATGGATAGATACACTTTTATCATGGATAGATGCACTTTTATGATGGAGAGATGCACTTTTATCATGGAGAGATGCACTTTTATCATGGAGAGATGCACTTTTATCATGGAGAGATGCACTTTTATCATGGAGAGATGCACTTTTATCATGGAGAGATGCACTTTTATCATGGAGAGATGCACTTTTATCATGGAGAGATGCACTTTTATGATGGAGAGAAGCACTTTTATCATGGAGAGAAGCACTTTTATCATGGAGAGATGCACTTTTATCATGGAGAGATGCACTTTTATCATGGAGAGATGCACTTTTATCATGGAGAGATGCACTTTTATGGACTTCAAAACAGAAACGGCCATTTACTGCCATTATAAAGCTTGGAAGATCCAGGACATTTTTTATATAACTCTGATTGTATTTGTCTGAAAGAAGAAAGTCATATAGTGAGTAAATCATGGGATAATTTTCATTTTTGGGTGAACTATCCCTTTAATATCAGAGCATTGAAAAGTGAAGTTGAAGGCCCGTGCACTACCATGAAGAAGGAACTATTATGTTCCTGAATGCGCTTAAAACACAACCTTCAGATTAAAACGAATGTCAAATCAATTACATAGAAACGTTTTTTTTTCTACTCCGGATCAAGACAAAACCTTTAAAGGTCCACTGAGAAAACTCATTACAGGGAACATGCACAAGGCCGGGTTTGTAAAAGAGCAACAGTGCGCAGTTTGCCTCTATCAGGTCTCGCTGCTCAGATTATTTTTAGCAATATAATTATTTTCAGAAGCAAACACTCATATGAAATGATTCAATTACTGTACATACAAGCTTCAATTAGATTTGACGACATCTATCAGAGTGACAATCGGTTTTCATTCTTGATGTTTAGCATGATCATTGATTTTTAGTTAACTTACTAATGTAACTAAAACAACTGTAATTCAAATGAAAATAATAACATTTCAGAAGTTTTAAGACCTAAAGGTTCTTCAGGTTTTCCACTCGAGCTGATGAATTTTGATCACTTTAGGAGGTAGACCGTGGCCGCGTCCCATGACTCTCATGAGTAGGCACTTATTTTAATAAGTACGTACTTTGTGAGCGCTAAAAAAGTATGAATGTAATCCAGGCGTACTACATTCGCCATATTGTCACTATATAGTAGGAAAAGTATGCGATTTCAGATACAGACACAGTCACTTGAACTACTGTTCACAATGATACATTATTGTCTTCATGATTCTTCAGAAATCATTATAATATGCCGATTTATATTATCAATGTTGGAAACAGTTGTGCTGCTTAATATATATTTTTTATAACATGTGACCCTTTTTTCAGGATTCTTTGGTGAATAAAAAGTTTTAAAATAACAGTGTTCATTTAAAACAGGAATCTTTTGTAACAATATACACCACCGTTCAAAAGTCAGTAATTTTTTTCAAAGAAATTAATACTTTAATTCAGCAAGGATGTGTTAAATGGACAAAAAGTGATAGTAAAGATTTGTATTGTTAGAAAATATTTATATTTTGAAAAAATGCTGTTCTTTTTAACTTTTTATTATCTTTTTAGATAATCCTGAAAAAAGAATCACAGGTTCCATAAAAATATCAAGCAGCACTCCATTATTGATAATAAATCGTAATTTTAGAGTGATTTCTGAAGGATCATGTGACACTGAAGACTGGAGTAATGATGCTGAAAATTCAGCTTTGATCACAGGAATAAATTACATTTTAACATACATTCACATAAAAAAAACCCAGCTATTTTAAATTCTAATAATATTTCATAATATTACGTTTTTTTCCCCCTCTATTTTTACTCAAATAAATGCAGGCTTGATGACCATAAGATACTTTTTTTTCAAAAACATAAAAAATAAATGTTTCCAAACTTGTGACCAATATTTATTTCCTTACGTCATTATTTAGCCTACTTAAAATCAAAACGTGTTTCTTACTGTCACACTGTTCAAGCAACAACAAACTTTTCAAGTGTCTTGTAAACTAGGAAGTGTGTACGTGCGGCGAGCAACGTAGACACTGGCCGTCGTCACAAACACATGCGTGTGTGTAACGTTAACAACAAACTACAACACCGCGACGTGTAACGTTAGCGTTACTCCGCATGAACAGTAGCGTTACCTTCACGGTCCTGTGCGACACATCGAAGCTCTCGCAGTAATCGTGTTTGATCCAGTCGCTCGAGTCCTTCAGCTCGGGTCTGGCGCTCCGCTTCGCTTCTTTGATCCGTTTCTTACTCTTATGGTTCATTCTTCAGAATCAGCGTTTCGGCACGTCTTGTCTTTGGGTGACGCTTTTAGCCCGCGTGCTATTGCTAAGTCCAATGCCAATGCAATGCAAGTCTATGGAGAGTGGCTAGTCAGTCACTGGAGGCCTTGTAGATGTGTGTGTAGTTCTTTTGCGGCCGACAGTACTGTGCGCGATACAGGAATCAAGTTATGTTTATTTCAGAGAGACGGGAGGTTGATACACTGAAGGGTTCGGTAATAAACTAAAGTTAGATAACCTGGCGGCAGCAAGCTTCTTTCACGCCGTATGGCGCAATCTAACCTGTAGCTTATTTCCCGCCCCGTAGTCGTTTCTAAGAATCCGATTGGCTGGCTGATTCACATTGTACTTTGGAATTGAACGCCGATTGGCTGCCGAGTGTGCGAGTCACTGTCCGCGCAGACTAAAGATCCAATAGAACATCACCAGAGAAAGAGACCGCCTAAACGTACTAGTAGTACGTTCGGCGAAATGGATTTAATGTTGTTTTGGAAAGCTGAAAATGTTGTGTCAACTACAAGCACTGGAAGGTAAAACATCAGCAAGGCCATGAACGAATCCTCTCACACGTTAATAGAGAAATCATTTACATTTCAGGACTGTGAAGACTCCTTAACGGTGTCTATCCCTGAGGTACAGCAAAGTTTGTAATACTTTATGTAATTAATTTGACAATAATTTGACAATAAACACTGATTTATTTCAGGTTCTTGATTCACAATATGGCATGTATGTGTGGCCCTGTGCGGTGGTGCTATCACAGTATGTGTGGATGGCAAGAGAGGAACTACAGAACAAGACTGTTCTTGAGGTACTTATACTCATCATTACACACACATCTGATGCCTTGACATGTTCACATTCATGAATTAAAGGGTTAGATCTATGGCGTTATATGTGTGCCTCAATCCTGAGCGAGTAATTGTAAGTTTTGAGCACAGAGAACTATATTTTGCAAACACATTGCATTATATTTTGAACAGAAATTAACAATCGCAAAAAAAATAAAAAAATCGTTTGAGCAAAGAAAAAACGATTACGTGCTCAATAAATGGATTTGCTATTATCCATATAACGTGCAATAATAACCCCTCTCTCACGCAGTTTACAGGTGCTCTCTCACAAACTTATTCTCTGTGCTCCTGTCAAGTCAACTCTCTCTCTCTCTCTCTCTCTCTCTCTCTCTCTCTCTCTCTCTCTCTCTCTCTCTCTCTCTCTCTCAAACTCGCTCAACTCTTGACACACACGCTCGCTCAACATACAACAGCGCTACAAGTGTGCCACAAAATCAACCAATCGTAACATGAAAGGTCAATGGACCAGATATGTAATAAGTAGAACGCGGAAGTAGTTGTGCAAGTAGTGCATTGTGATTGGCTGTTGGTCAACAATCACCACGCAGCACAAAGAAGACGAAAAATGAATTTTATGGATAGATGTCTTCTCTAGCCACCATCAAACATGACAGAGTCAAATGGTGAAAAGGATAAGTCAAACTAACTTTAGTCACAATAGGAGATATAGGCTACTGTAATATTATAAGTTAAACAACACAACAGCATTATAATACACAAAACTAACAAGACACCTTTAAGTTAATAATAATAAAAAATTCTTACCAAAATGTGTTAATCCATTAGTCTCGCTGTAGTCAGTTATTTTTTCGATTTTTTTTTTCCAGTAAGCTCGAAGCTGTAGTAGTGGATAGTTCTACCAGACGGGCTTTGGTTCTACTAGCGATTTGATTGGAGACCGACAATGTGCAACAAAATTAACCAATTGGAAAATTAAAGGTCAATTGTTATTGGCTGTTGCCAACAGCCAATAACAATTGACCTTTAATTTTCCGATTGGTTAATTTTGTGGCACACTTGTAACGCTGTTGCAAGTTGAGCGAGCCGAGCGTGTGTGTCAAGAGTTGAGCGCGCACAGAATTAAGAGGTTGAGAGAGAGAGAGAGAGAGAGAGAGAGAGAGAGGGAGACTTGACAGGAGCGCAGAGAATAAGTTTGTGAGAGAGCACCTGTAAACTGCGTGAGAGGAGTTATTATTGCACGTTAATATGGATAATAGCAAATACATTTATTGAGCACGGAATCGTTTTTTCTTTGCTCAAACGATTTCTTTTTTTTTTTTTTTTTGCGATTGTTAATTTCTGTTTAAAATATAATGCAATGTGCTTGCAAAATATAGTTCTCTGTGCTCAAAACGTACAATTACTCGCTCAGGATTGAGGCACACATATAACGCCGTATAGTTCACCCAAAAATGAAAATGATGTCATTAATGACTCAAGCCCCAAGCCCGTCAGACCTCCGTTCATCTTCGGAACACAGTTTAAGATATTTTAGATTTAGTCCGAGAGCTTTCTGTCCCTCCATTGAACATGTATATGTACGGTATACTGTCCTTGTTCAGAAAGGAAATAAAGACATCATCAAAGTAGTCCATGTGACATCAGTGGGTTAGTTAGAGTGTTTTGAAGCATCGAAAATACATTTTGGTCCAAAAATAACAAAAACTACGACTTTATTCAGCATTGTATTGTCTTCCGGTTCTGTTGTGGATCCGCGTTCAGTGCCGCCGCTGACGTGTGTCTGGTGTGTGTATGTGTGTGTGTGTGTGTGTGTTCTGGTTCTGTTGTGGATCCGCGTTCAGTGACGCTGCTGATGTAAGACGCTGCTGACGTGTGTCTGGTGTGTGTGTGTGTGTGTGTGTGTGTTCTGGTTCTGTTGTGGATCCGCGTTCAGTGCCGCCGCTGACGTAAGACGCTGCTGACGTGTGTCTGGTGTGTGTGTGTGTGTGTGTGTTCTGGTTCTGTTGTGGATCCGCGTTCAGTGACGCTGCTGATGTAAGACGCTGCTGACGTGTGTCTGGTGTGTGTGTGTGTGTGTTCTGGTTCTGTTGTGGATCCGCGTTCAGTGCCGCCGCTGACGTGTGTCTGGTGTGTGTATGTGTGTGTGTGTGTGTTCTGGTTCTGTTGTGGATCCGCGTTCAGTGCCGCCGCTGACGTAAGACGCTGCTGACGTGTGTCTGGTGTGTGTGTGTGTGTGTGTGTTCTGGTTCTGTTGTGGATCCGCGTTCAGTGACGCTGCTGATGTAAGACGCTGCTGACGTGTGTCTGGTGTGTGTGTGTGTGTGTGTGTGTGTGTTCTGGTTCTGTTGTGGATCCGCGTTCAGTGCCGCTGCTGACGTAAGACGCTGCTGACGTGTGTCTGGTGTGTGTGTGTGTGTGTTCTGGTTCTGTTGTGGATCCGCGTTCAGTGCCGCTGCTGACGTAAGACGCTGCTGACGTGTGTCTGGTGTGTGTGTGTGTGTATTCTGGTTCTGTTGTGGATCCGCGTTCAGTGACGCTGCTGACGTAAGACGCTGCTGACGTGTGTCTGGTGTGTGTGTGTGTGTGTGTGTGATGTAAGACGCTGCTGACGTGTGTCTGGTGCGCCCGAGCTTCGTTCACAGTCTGAGGGAGACGCACGCTGGAAACAAAACAATCTTCGCAAACATGTCTAAGGATTTCCACACAGAGGAAGACTTGCATTTTTTTGCCCAGCCATATTTACTTGAACCCGAATACACACACACACACACACACACGTCAGCAGCGTCTTACGTCAGCGGCGGCACTGAACGCGGATCCACAACAGAACCAGAACACACACACACACACACACACACACCAGACACACGTCAGCAGTGTCTTACGTCAGCGGCGGCACTGAACGCGGATCCACAACAGAACCAGAACACACACACACACACACACCAGACACACGTCAGCAGCGTCTTACGTCAGCAGCGTCACTGAACGCGGATCCACAACAGAACCAGAATACACACACACACACACACCAGACACACGTCAGCAGCGTCTTACGTCAGCAGCGTCACTGAACGCGGATCCACAACAGAACCAGAACACACACACACACACACACCAGACACACGTCAGCAGCGTCTTACGTCAGCAGCGTCACTGAACGCGGATCCACAACAGAACCAGAACACACACACACACACACACCAGACACACGTCAGCAGCGTCTTACGTCAGCGGCACTGAACGCGGATCCACAACAGAACCAGAACACACACACACACACACACCAGACACACGTCAGCAGCGTCTTACGTCAGCAGCGTCACTGAACGCGGATCCACAACAGAACCAGAACACACACACACACACACACCAGACACACGTCAGCAGCGTCTTACGTCAGCGGCACTGAACGCGGATCCACAACAGAACCAGAATACACACACACACACACACCAGACACACGTCAGCAGCGTCTTACGTCAGCAGCGTCACTGAACGCGGATCCACAACAGAACCAGAACACACACACACACACACACCAGACACACGTCAGCAGCGTCTTACGTCAGCGGCGGCACTGAACGCGGATCCACAACAGAACCAGAACACACACACACACACACACACACACACACACACCAGACACACGTCAGCAGTGTCTTACGTCAGCGGCGGCACTGAACGCGGATCCACAACAGAACCAGAATACACACACACACACACACCAGACACACGTCAGCAGCGTCTTACGTCAGCAGCGTCACTGAACGCGGATCCACAACAGAACCAGAACACACACACACACACACACCAGACACACGTCAGCAGCGTCTTACGTCAGCAGCGGCACTGAACGCGGATCCACAACAGAACCAGAACACACACACACACACACACCAGACACACGTCAGCAGCGTCTTACGTCAGCGGCGGCACTGAACGCGGATCCACAACAGAACCAGAACACACACACACACACACACACACACACCAGACACACGTCAGCAGCGGCACTGAACGCGGATCCACAACAGAACCGGAACACAATACAATGCTAAATAAAGTCATAGTTTTTGTTATTTTTGGAGCAAAATGTATTTTCGATGCTTCAACACACTCTAACTAACCCACTGATGTCACATGGACTACTTTGATGATGTCTTTATTTCCTTTCTGAACAAGGACAGTATACCGTACATACATTTTCAATGGAGGGACAGAAAACTCTCGGACTAAATCTAAAATATCTTAAACTGTGTTCTGAAGATGAACGGAGGTCTTACGGGCTTGGGGCGACATGAGGGCGAGTCATTAATGACATCATTTTCATTTTTGGGTGAACTAACCCTTCAAATAAATCGGAGTCAAACCCCCTCCATTAGTATTGCAAGTCCTGCTGTGTTGAAGTTTCACCCTGTCTATTTTCTAAATGCTTATTATAGATCTTATTGTGAGCAATGCATGCGTTTCTTTTTTTAAATTATTTTTATTTCAAGCTAATGGAGTTTGGGTCAAATTGAGTGTAATAAACTGTGCTTTTGCGTTGCAGCTGGGCGCCGGGGTGGGTTTGCCTGGGGTGGTGGCTGGCAGGTGTGGGGCGCGTGTGATGCTGTCAGACAGTGCTGAGCTGCCCCTCTGCCTGAGGAACTGCCGGCGCTCCTGTGACGCCAACGGCCTGCCCGGCGTGCCTGCGATCGCACTCACCTGGGGACGGGTGTCGCCGGAGCTCCTCTCGCTGCCGCCGCTGGACATCATCCTGGGCTCAGATGTCTTCTATGAACCTGAAGGTGACCTTTTTCCCCATGGTTTATCTAATGCTTAAATGTTACACAGGTTTCTAAATATTAAACAAAACATTGCTTTGGACAGATTTTGAAGACGTGCTCGTGACCATCTCCTTTCTCGTAAGGAGAAACCCTCATGCTCAGTTCTGGACGACATACCAGGAGAGAAGGTGATATGATTTAGTTGTGTTGTGGCTTGATTTTGTTGTGTTGTGAACTACTGGACCACCATAGATATATACTTGCAATTGTGAGAAATAAAGTCAAGAGTTGAAAGATATAAAATTGTAATTAAGAAAAGGTAATTGCGGCTTATCTTGCGATTCTGACTTTTTTCTCGCAATTGCAAGTATATATCTGACGATTCTAAGAAAAAAAGTAAAAAGTGCGAATTATAAACTGTGAGAAATAATGTCAGAGTTGCAAATCATAAACTAGCAATTGTGAGAATAAAGAGTTCTGAGATATAAACTTTTTTTTCTCTCAGTTGCTGCAAGTATCTCACAATTGTAATAAAAACGTCAGAATTGCCAGTTATAAATTTAGAGTAATTTTAAAAAGGTAATTGCGACTTTTTATCCTGCAATTCTGACTTTTCCCCCCAGAATTGTGAGATATAAACCCGTAATTGTGTGTTATAAAGTCAGAATTGTGAATGTCTTAATTACCTTTTTTCATTTTTTATCCTGTGGCAGAAACAAGCTTCCATATGTTTGATTTTAAACATTAGTTTTATAGCGATTACACTGACAAAGAGCAATTTGTAGCTCAAAAATTAACGTAAGAAAAATATATAATATAGAAAATCCCATAACTTTAAGATTCGATTCGATGCTTCCATTATGTTTCCATTCTTGGAAATCAGTTTGAAATTTTATTTCCATAACTGCAGGAACCCTGCAGAAAGCAATCTTGTAAAATTAGTACCGCTATATTGACAAATGTAATATTAATAGGGTTCTGCATTCATAATTATTCACCGTCCAAGATGCCTAGTTAAAAATTAATCGTTTTTATTTCTTTTTATTGCAGTGCGGACTGGTCCATTGAGGCTTTGTTACACAAGTGGGATCTGAAGTGCATCAATGTCCCACTGGAAAGATTTGAAGCAAACAAAAACCATCTTGCTGGATCAACACTTCCTGGGAATCATACTGTACAAATGATGATCATAACAAGAAAGGTGTTTTAATGAGAAACTTGTATATACAAATCCTTTCCCTTCCAATGTAACATGTCCTGATAAACTTCTGTTCTACATTTTAGTCCTTCACTTGAAAATGTCAGATTACAGAAATAAAATGGGTTTATGATGACAGATTATGCCAATATACACTATAGCTCAAGAACTAGATTTATTTAAGTATCATTGAGATACTATTATATTTATCAATATTTTACATTTTAATTTAAGTTTTAGTAATTTTGTTGTGCGTTTGTCATTTGTATTAGTTTTTTTTTTTTTTTATCATTTCAGTGTGTATTTATTACAACTTAAAAAAAATAAGAAATGTTGGCTGAAATATAATAAGTTGATCACCAAAATGACATATTTAAAGTTTACCCTCATCCTTCCTTAGGGTCATTTTGACATTTAAAAATGTAGTGTTCATCGGAGGGGTCCTAGACCCTTGGACTTTTGTCGCACTTGAACCATGAATACACAAACAAATTGAATGAATTTTGTGGTGAAAATGTAAACAAGTAACAAATCCTTCTCTCGCGGGTCAATTTGACCCCCTTAGGAATGAATGGAATGCGAGGAATGTTTCAGTACACATAGAAAAACATAAAACTTTACCAAAAATTGTTTTATAATGTCTACATGTGTATCTGAATGCATACTGAATGAACTGACCAGTGGAACAGCTCATTTGCTCCATATAGAGCTAAGGCCATTTAGTGGCTAGAGTCATGAAATATCATGTTATATTATTTTTTTCCCCACAAGACGTCGGCAAAGACACCCAATGTAAGATATTTTGAGCTGAATTAAAAGGGTTATGCATGAAATTGTGAGTTATTTTGAATTTAAATTGAAAGAATGTGCTTAAATGACTATTTATTGATCAAATCTAGTCATTTAAAGGTTAGTAAAATAATAAATACCAACAAAAAAAAAGCATTAAAATAGAAAAAATTCACAAAAAATGAAATAAAATAAGCTTTTCTGGACAAAAAAAATGAAGTATAATTTTAGGGCTTCGGGTCATTTTGACCCGCGAGTGAAAGATGTGTTACAAAGTGCGAGGGAAGGATGAGGGTTAATATATTTAACCTCCACTCACTCACACCAGCTCAGAGATCCACTGGTTGACGATCACACGTTGATCTGATTGGTTACTGTAGTGTGTGACGTCAGAAACACCAGCGATTTCACACCGTGTTTTTGAGACTGTCTTTGGTTCACTGCAGTTTTAAGGAGAAAATACTCAGCAATGCTGGCGACTTATGAGTTTGCACATGGTTTGTCTTTAAGCACATTAAAAACGTGATTTTTGTTTTTACCACAGGGGGACTTAAAGCGTTTTTTACTTTATTTCAGCTCAAATTTATTTTATTTCAAGTGAAGTGAGTTTAATAATAATAACCCTCTCAAGAACACATTTTGCCATGACACCAAGACAGAAGCATTTAATAACTGATTTATTGAAGATCCAGGACAGAACAAAGTTGATCGGTACAGTTTAAGATACTCCCAACTTTCCAAACTTTGTAACACAATTTGACAGACGACAGCGCTTTGGCCACCGAATTTTTTATTGTGCAGATGCTGCTTGACCTCGACCCACACCTGCAACAGCAGCAAACTGGAGAAAACCGGAAACAGCCAAGCACTCAGCACTGCAACACCGGACCTTAACAGCTAACCAGCAAAACTCAACAGCTAGACAACTGCGCCTAGTGCACAAAAAATACACAAGACATTGGGTTAGAATCCAAATAATCACTCATGAAAAGACAAATTAACTAAGATTATATACAAAATTGGTTTAACATCAGGACTGTAATATAAAGTAAACAAGCTATTCATACTTTCCAAATGATTTCAAAACAAAGCAGAGAAATAAGTTTACGCATTTGCAGATTAAAGCAGATTTTTAACAACAACAATAAAAAGCCAAATCTAGATTAATTTCTAAACAGCGTCTTACAAAAGTGACACAAGTGAGGTGCAGCTAGCACTCTCAGAACCATCACCGAAACAGGGTTACCTTAAAGCCCAATAGAATTGTGATGCTCGTCCTACTCAACGAATTAAAAAGGACATACACGTTTAAAACAGGAACAATGTATACAAAGAACAAAGGGCTGTATAACTCTTCAACAGTTTGAATATGCCAATCAGTCATAATGACCTTTAGGCCCATGTAGCCTTTGTGTAGATTTCAGGGTTTTCAATCCGGGGTTCCTCAGGCTCCAACCGAGGTCACGCATTTACAATCGCCCCATGACGAGACGGACCTGAGAGAACACAAAACAGCGGTCAGCCATGTGACCAAGCACGTGGAAAAGCCATGTCGTAATTACGAGATGGCTTTCAAAAATCCAGCTGTAATTACGAGCTCTAGCAGGACGCCAGCGCTTTTTACAAGTCGGGATCTCGTAATTACGACATGGTGGGAACGCACCCAAACATGGCAATGAAAGGTGGGGAAATAAAAGAGAGAAACTGGGGATCAAGATGACATGGACAGTTAACCATAGCACAAAAACAAACTACACATATTACACAAATACATCTCTATACACATAAATAAAAAAAATAAAAAAAGATAAAATGTGTGATGTATTAATGACATCCCGTTAAAAAGACTAGATTTCTGGCAGTATGACGTCCGGTCACATGTGCTCATTATGGAAATTTGACTTTAAATGTGTCTCATCCAATCAGAATGACAGTATTAGTCTCATAATGTTAGTTTGTTTACTTTTGTTTTAAACTGATGTTACATAATATTTTGTTTTGCACTGATTGCCAGACTAATTCATCTGTAGGGCTGGGTATCGATCAAAAATGTCCGATACCTTGATTCCGATACCGGGTCCCGAACAATACCAGCCTGGTTAAAACCAGACCATTCTCAGTTGTAACTGAGTTATGGTCTGGCAAAGCGTCATAGACAAATCATTTCCAGAGGGGCGTCACCAACGGACGTCGCGGATAGACCTAAACCAATCAGAGCGATGAAGGAGATGACGTATGCAGAGCGGCGGAAACATCTCAGAGTGTTGTTCTTTGCTCGGTTTTTAACAAAAAGGAAACGTTCAAATGGCTTAAAACAGACGCGATAGCTGATTCGAACGAGTGATGTTCGACGGCGGCATCCATCTTTGTAACGTAGGCTACAAAATCTGCTTCAAAATCCCAGCGCTGTCGTCATCGTGTAAAGCCCGCCCCAACGCTTCTGATTGGTGCCGCGATTTCGGCGGATTGGAAATGGGCTTGAATGAGCTCTTTGCCAGACTAACTTTCAGAGCAAATCTACATTTGCCGGAAATTGTCTGGGTTTTCCCCGGCTAGAACAATACTTTTTTCAATACAAATTTGATGAAATCTGTGTTATTTCAGGGGGAGCAAGGAGACATTTTAATTGCTTATTAATAAACTAGTGTTTTCTGAGTCAGTGTTGTCTGCAAAGATGAAGTTGACGTTGCGGACGCGTCATCTCCACAATATAGAGCTGGTAAGTCCCGCCCATCCGTAAAACTCCAAGTGGACCTCTAGGTTGAAAAAGCGTCAATGCAAGTGAATGAGAGAAAATAATTATTTTCTGATCCCGTTTGAATTGTGCCATGAATGTGAACATATGTTGTCTGTGAATTTTTTATATAATTTCTCATGTAACGAGTTTGACAGTATATTGTATGATTCTTTGGCTAGCAGTTGTGGAATAGACATAACGAGAAAGACACGTCGCATATGTGACGTCACCGCATAACACATTTCCCCTCCACAAATCACGGTGCGATAATCTAAGGAATTAGATCGAGATGCCTGTGTGTTTTGTACCCAAATGTCACCATTCAAACAAAGGCATGTTTAGCGGGATCCGTGTGCTAGTGGTGGTGACGCATAGCAAACGCGTCGAAAGCAGCGAAGAGTTGTAGTCCACAAAGTGCTCTCACACAAAGTCTAACCGTATGAAAATTCTACCCGCTAAATTGTAGCTTTCTTTACACGAAACATTATATAAAAAATTCACAGACAACATATGTTCACATTCATTGCAAAATTCAAACGGGATTAGAAAATAATCAGTTTCTCTCATTCACTTGCATTGACGATTTTTCAACCTAGAGGTCCAGCGGGGTAAGCGGAAGGGGCGGGACTTACCAGCTCTATACAGAGAAATGCACCTTTCATTTTGATTACATAATCAGAGTGTTCATATTTGAATTGGTTCGTTTTAAAAGTAGACATTTCCAGCTTCTCTGGGTGTAACTAGTGTTTTTCATTGATGCCTCGCAACAGCCAATCATGCTGTATGCTTATTGGCACGTTGACGAGATTAACCCCTTAGGTATCGAAATTTGGAGGTTTTTTGATACTCGATGGTAGAGGCAATTCGCTCGGTGCCTAAAAAGTATCGAACTCGATACCCAACCCAAATCACCTGCTATAAATAATCTCATTTAGTTTTTCGCACACGGGTTAGATAAGACTTTGGTCGTGCCAGCCTGCTAGTTATAAACTCAAGTACTATGTTTATTCCCATTTCCAGGTTAAAGCAAGCAACTGGCAGCGAGTTTGTGTTTGACTTTTGTCTATGGCAGGACGCTGTCTGTCCGTTGTCTCGTAGACGTACCTCAGCACCACCAAAACACCCATCTGCTTCAAAGCAACCCCAACAGGAGCAGGCACACCTCTAACAGCTCAACACAGCTCTGCTTTTACATTGCCATACTGGATTCAGCAGCTTGGAGGAAACAATTCCACATTGAGTTCAACAGCATTGTCAAATGCTGCAGCATTTTTACCAATGCGATGCATCTGCAAAGAATAAGCAAATGCATTCCAGCACATCATTGTCCGGGGTCACGTTTTCTTACCACTGAAGCGTTTTAGGATGATGCCGGTCCTTCTTCCCCTGCAGACTTTGGCTGGCTTTTAGATCTGGACCTGGACCCTCTGTTCGATGCAGGCGTGCGGCTTCTGGAACGGGACCTGGATTTGGATCGAGAACGTGACCTAGACCTGGAAGGAGACTTGGACTTCCTCTTGCGGGGAGTGTGTGACTTGGAGCGAGAGCGGGAAATGGAGCGGGACCTCGACCTGCTGTAACGGGAACGGCTGCGGGAACGAGAGCGGCTCCTGCTTCTGGAGCGGCTGCGTCGCCGGCGCTTTGGACTGTGGGTGGAGAATGGAGATAAAGAAAAGTGATGGATTATTTCAATAGAGTCTGTACACAGACCTGCACTTTCTCTCAACTTGATAAGATATAAGGAACATTCACACCAAGAACTATAACAATAAACTTTTAATAATCCTTTTTTAGTTCTGTGAGAATAGTGAAATCCACACCAGAACTATAACGGTACGATGTAGTTGGAATCACTTTCAGATGAAAAATATAAAGTTATAATAATAATGGTTCTAATTCCACAGTGAAGATACTATATTGTTCGATTTTAAAGCATTATAAGGCATAAAAAAAAAAAAAGTTTGGTTCCGGTTTGTTGTCAGTTGAGGTCATGGGTCGGTAGGGATTTTTTTTTTTTTTTTTTTTTTTTTTTTTTAGTGGCAGCAGCAAGTAATAGGTAGGAAATTATTGAGGGCTCGACCTTAAGCCTTTTCATGTGCTTGCCCTCCGAACAAGTAAATCTGTCATTCACTTGTCAGAGTAAAAAAGTTGCTTGTCCGGATTTGTTTTAATTTTTTAATTTATTTATTCTGAAGCAATGTTCTCATCAGTGTTCAATCAGCTTTGATATTTAAATTGGCATATTGTAATATCTGCACCTTTGAAGGGCATCCCCTCCCCCAATCTTATTAAATGCCCTATAGTGTCGTCTTATTCTAAATAATTGAATTTATTGATCAAATTTAGGAATTTAAAATGAAAGATGAAGCATACTGTTACCCTAAGTAGGGCTGATCAAATTAAATAATTTACACTGAAAAATTACAATTGCATAAAATAATGTTATGAAATTGATTTAAATGTACAAATAAGAAACATCGGAAAGAAGTATACTAGGCTACTTATAAACATAACACTAAACTGCCAATAGGTGGCGGCAGGCGGCCGTATTAATGAGTGAGTCATTGATTCATTAATTCAAACGATTCGTTTAAACGGTTGATTCATTCAAGAATGAGACAGATGTTAATTAATGGGTCATTGAATCTTTGACTCAACCGATTCGGTCAAAATGCTGAATCATTCAATAATGAAAACAGGTTGAGTGTTCCTGTGAGATGCGCCGTGGTTCTGCTGTGATTTTTGTTTGGAACTATTTTCGCTGCAGAAACAGAACAAAAACAGCCAATATTTCATCTAAAATGTAAGTGACTTAATTGTAACTGTTTATTGAACTGTTGTAGGAAATCAATGTCACATTTTCAATCGTGATATGGTATTCAGGAAAAATAATTGAGGCTGCTTAACACATATGTTAAAATATAGAAACTCCACATTTAGATTTGTTTATAGGCAGTATGTTGTTAACTGAGTGTGTGTGTGCTGCGCTCATGTGTGTAGATTTCTCCTCGAGAGGCTGCGCGAGCGTCAACAGCGCAACCTCACCGTCAGCAGGCTAATGCATTTATTATCCACAATTGATCGCAACTTACAATAAATGTAATAAAATCATTCTCTCGGTTTAGTGATTCCCTAGTTATTTGTTTGTTTGTTATTGATGTTCTAATCAGGCTACTTGTCCGTTCGGGCAAGTAAAATTCTCTTTTACTTGTCCTTCAAAAATCCATTTGTCGCGGACAAGTTAGACGGGCTCTGGAGATCGAATACGATACGATACGATCGATACGAAGCGCGGCAGGTTAGAGTGTTTTGGATTGCATAAAATAATAAAAGAAACGAACAAATACATGGCGAAAGAAGTGGTAGACAGCAGAAGAGGGTATTGGGATTTGGGATGATTTTTAATGAAACTTGGGAGGCGGATGGAGGTTACTCTGTAACTCATCATGTGGTGTGTGCGTGCCTATGAATGCATGCATTTGTATGTGTGCGTATATGAATAAAAGTGTCCTTAATGACAAAAAAAAAACAAAAAAAACTTGTAGCCTATATGTATTATAGTTCAGTTTGACGAACGATGTGTGAACGACCATGTAGCTGCCTCGTTTGTTTTGCTGGAGGACAACAGATGGCATCTTGCATCGCGTGCTGTACAAAAACGTAAATTATAGTTCGCCTCAAAGTTTTTTATTTGTGTATTTATTTAATTTTTATTATTTCTTCCCCAAGCTCATAAAATAAATTTGGGTCGCACATAAATTGACAGGGTCGGTCGGAAACCGGAACCAAACAAAAAATTTTTTTAAACCTAAGCCATGAACCAACCCCACCAGATATGAGGTGAATTATTCACAACATTACAAACTTTGATTTGGAGAAAAAAAATGTATTTGAAAATCAGACAAAAACACTTTGTCCTTTTACAACAAGGTACAAGACTGTGTACTTAAAGGATTTATTGAGGAAAATAACTACAATTTCCATTGTAAACATTGCGAATCGAATTTAAAACTATAGAGAAATATAAAACTATTAGGGGTGTAACGATACCCTCATGTCTGGATTCGATACATATCACGATACTGAACTCACGATACGATATTATTGCGATACTCCAAGACACATGATAAAAGGTTAACAAAAAATATACTGTTGATTAAAATGCTAACTTTGATATTACATTGTGGGTTTAAATGAATAGGATGGACTTGGTGCTTCAGCTTGTAACCAAAGGACAATGGTGACACCAGAATAAAAATATTCATGATTCTGAAGCTGAAAATACAGAATTATTTTAGACGAATATGATTGCACTCTGTCACTGACTAGATATATTTAAAATGATGTAGGACTTTTTACTGACCAACATCATCAGACATTTGGCATTATCAGGAAATATTCCCCCATTGCATTATTATACATTATAATCAACATTATGTATGGTAGTTTAATGTAGTACTGGCACTAAAAAAATCTCACACAGTAATTTTTTATTTTGGGTGAACTATCCACGATACATATTGTTGCATTTTTGTATTGCGATACATTGTGGCACGATATATTGTTACACCCCTAAAAACTATTCATTTAAAGTTATATCTAAACATTTATATTATATAAATTATTGTATATAATATAACTATAAAGTTATATTATATACAATACATTTAAGTTTATTTCAAAATAAGCATTTATATTACCGTATAAACACTATCCTAGCACCGCCCTGATCAAATATGTTCCCGCGGCTATGTATATAGATCATGTAAAAAATATTTTGACAGCATAGCGAAACCAACTCGATTACGTCATTCACACTGCTTCGTGACTCCCTGATTGGTGGAATATTCAGTAGAGCATCATGGGTAATGTAGTTGTTCACCGTGAATTCCGCTGTTGTGATTAAAAAAAAAAAAAATCACAGTATGTCTGTGTATGAGTTATTTTAAAAAAAAAGTCTATTTCACTATGGAGAAAATAAATTGAGGTTTTACTTATGGATTCTGACTGTTGCACTCTTTAAAGCGACAGACTACATGATTGCAGCACAATTAACATTATAATGTTAATTATAATTAACTTGTAATAATAATGTTAACGATTAACATAATAATGTAGTAATCTTGATGTGAACGAGCCTTTACGGTTTATAACAAACACAGTCATAAACGTATTAAGCTTAAAGCTGCAGTCCGGCATTTTTCCTCTTTGTCGCCATCTCTGTTCGAAATCTGCAATTGCAGTCATTCGCGGATGAACACAGTGTTTGAGGAGAGTGTGCAGCTGTCAGTCACCGCGCCGATGTGGATATTGTCATTCAGAATCACAGATTATTCTTTTTGGAAGTATGACCAACAACAATTTTCACCGGGAAATGTCATCTGAACTAGTAAGAAACATTCACTTTTGTTCTGGTTCTGACATTGCAGTAAATCGCGCTGATTAAATCTAACAATTGCTTATAAGTTATCATTTCACGCAAAACCGTGCAAAGTAGCTATACTATGTTCTCTAATTGTTAATGTTAACAACGTCAGCAAGCATTGCGTGACTACATCATGTAATGTCCTTCCGATATTATCCTTGTTTTCGCATGGGTCCGGTTACAGTCTCTTTTTTTCTGTAGCCACTCCGAAGTCCGAACGAAGTCTTTTGCATTTACAGCGGGTAAATCTGTTGTCACTGATGATGATCGTTTGAACCTTTCTGGATCCGCCATCAAATTGATAAGTTTAATTATATCAAGTGCTGTGAGAAAAGGCTATAAATCTCTACCTCCAGCATCCTCACACGCAATATAGCTTATACTAGCCGAGACTCCTTCTTTATGTGTACAGATGTGACGTAATGACACAAAGACATGCTCGAATCTCCCACGGAAATCCACCAGTACCACTAAAATTAAAAACATTATTACAAGCTTACCGTTTTGCATCGAGCTAAGGCAAGCAGATAGTTTTGAACACTGGCTGGTTATGTATTTTATCAAATATGTATTTTGGATAATTTTTAACCCAAAAAAAAGCTACGGACAGCAGCTTTAATGCAATATCTGCTCGATAATGCCTATTATTTAAAAAAAAGTTTGTTAACGGTTTATTAGTCACTTTGAAACGGGAGGCTGTGTATACATATGCATGCATATGCAGGGCTCGAAATTGCGACCATTTTGGTCGCATATGCTCCTGAAATTTAATCTGTGCTACCTAAAAATATATTTGGGAGCATCTGTGCGAGTGCAAATAATGGTTGTTGTGGTGCGACCTGTTTTTATTTCTCTACAAAACGTTCGCAAATTACTGCACAGTGTGTACCTTATGTGCACTGATACGTGGTGGCCGGACCATCATTCTATCCAACGATTACATCCAATCAAACTTCATCCTTACGTTCCTAACTTTAAAGCAGATTTTAGATAGGTTAATATTAGCTGTCAATCACTCCCATTCACTTACGCTGCGCTCCGTTGTCACGTGACAGGGAGCTGACTACCGCGCGACTAAAAGGCTGAATAAGAGAGAAGATGAAACGAGGTTTTTCCTGCTTTGAATTTTTTTGGCGACCGCCAAAGCCTTATTTGATCGGTGAGTGATAGATGACTGACGGCTGCGCTTGTGACAGGGCTCATATTACTGAAAGAACGAGCAGAGAGAGCGCGCGCACTCTCACAGTCTTCAAACAGTCTTGCTCTCCCTCCCTCACGCATATAAATCGAGAATTGACACGATGGTAAAAGGTAAGAAGACCGAAGTTTCACGTGAAGCATTCGGAGATTTTTCTAATGACTCCTTTGAACTGATTCCATTTAATGAATGGTTAAAACAACTGATCTGTCCAACACTGAACTCACGAGACGTCTGCATCGGTGTATAACAAATCGGTAACACTTTACAATAAAGTTCAATTTATTAAACTCTAGTTAACTACATTAGTTAACATTAACTATTAATAAACTGCATTTCTACAGCATTTATTAATCTTTGTTAATGCTAATTTAATCATTAATAGTAGCCTTATTGAAATCAAAAGATGTATTTGTAGTTAGCCTAATGCACTGTGAAGTAACATGAACAAACAATGAACAGCTGTATTTTTTATTAACTAAGATTAACAAAGATTCATAAATACAGTAAAAAATGTATTGCTCATGGTTCATGTTAGTTAGCCTAATGCATTAACTAATGTTAACCAATCAAACCACATTTACTCAGAACACCTCTTAAAATAAGAATGTAAGTGTGCTTACCCCATTTATTTTTAGTAAGAGTGGTTAGGAAGATTTAACCTTAATAAACTACAGTATTTTCAGGTTATTTAAATGACAATGTGAAGAAAACTTACCAAAAAAAAAAAAACTTTTAGTTTAGACTGGAGTGAGGTGAAACCAAAAACAAAAAGTGCAAATCAAGTTGTTGTTAGCTAGCTTCTAATTGTATTCAATTGTATATGGTAGAAAATTAGTTACAATAAACTTTTTAATGCTACTTTATTATTGTAGTTTTTGATATTGATATGATGATATACCAAAATGATGATTAGGTTTAGCAAAGAAGGATTTTATCTTACAAAGCTATGAAATACAGTGGTAAAATCACAGCTTTAATAAAAAAAAAAAAAAAAAACAGGGCAAGAAAGGATGACAGTGTCCACCGGCCACCACCGAAAAGAAAACCAATACATTTTAAGCGCAAGAGCTTGGTTAAACAAGGAGAGAGTGCCAAGCACAAAAAAATGCAGGGACAAGTGTGTGGAAAACAAATCAGGTTCAATTATTAAGGCTTTTAATCATCAGAATGCTGCCGGTCGTTCCGCTCTACTGGCAGAGCTAAACGTCAAATTTGGTGGGTGCTCCTAAATTTTTGCTGGTGCTCCTAACTTTTTGAAGTTGGGAGCACCAGTGCTACCAGGTAAAAAAGTTAATTTCGAGCCCTGATATATATATATATATATATATATATGCACCGTAACGTTACATATTAACTAACGTTATACTAACGTTATATTCTACGAACATAAGTAGTTAGGAGCTGTTCCGAACATAGACACTCACTGTTAGGTAAATAAAAGCACACATGAAATGCGTTAAAGTCCATATAATAATTAAAAAAACATGATTTTGAATTAAACGGCATCAGTCTAACGTTACGTGCATGTGACGTCATGGAAAGCAGACTGAACTAATAGCGTTCCTCCAAGAAAAACAACACACAGATTGTAAAAACACATAGAAAAGCGCTGTACGCAGATAACAACTCTGTCTGATCTGAGGTATTGTTTACCTCCGGCTGCGGCGGCCGTGTCCTCCGTGTCTTCTGGCGGCTCCCCCGCCGCGACGCCCGCCGTAGTAGGAGTCTGGCGGCCTGCCGTAACGGGCCATCTGAACCCGGAGCTCTCGCCCGTCCAGAATCGCCCCATCCATCGCGTCCATCGCGTCCTCGGCATCCCGATTGTCGTGAAAGCGCACGAAGGCGAACCCCCGGCTCTCTTTCGTGTATCGATCTCGGGGAATATAAACGTCCCCAACTCGGCCGTACTTTTCAAAGACGCGCCGCAGCGTTTCCGGCGACGTGCGGTACGTTAAATTATCCACTTTTAACGATGTCATGCCTTCTACGTCGGGTGGAGGCCTGCCGTAACTCATTTTAAGTTTGTTGCCCAACAAACTATCAGAATTCACTTCGCTTTGTGTCCTCAAACTGAGTCGACTCGCCTATTCCAGTGAGGTGACGAACACTAGTTGCCGTTGAGCTCCGCGAGCACAACAATGAGCACGCGCGCACACTCGCTCTCAAAATGGCGAGTACTAAAAACCTTCTTCTTCTTGTTGCTATTTTACGGCGGTTGGCATCCAACTTATTGGTGCATTTCCGCCACCTTCTGCTCCGGAGTGTGGAACAGAAAATAGGTTTACAGACTAAATCCCCCTCTCCCACTCACACACTGCTCCTCCCGAGTCCCATTCATTCTGCATGTTAATAATTTTAATAGTAATAACAACAATTATTATTACCACCATAATTACAACATCAATATTTATACTTTAACCCTCATATACTACCTTTATTTATATTCTATTAAAAAACCCTATTTCTCTTAAGAAAGTCATAAGAATTCTAGTCTGAACTCAATAACCCTTATAATGTGATGTTCTGAACTCCCATCTCCCTCAGCTTATTCCTCATCATCTCTCTCTGTGCTCCATACCTACTACATCTCAAAATAATATGCTCTATAGACTCCTCTTCCTGGCATCCTTCACTCAATCCAGTATTATGTTTCCCTATTAACTTAAGCGTTTTATTTAATAAACAATGTCCCATTCTTAACCTAGAGATCACAATTTCTTCTCTCCTATTTCCACTTCCAACCCTTGTTTCTTTAACTTCCCTTTGAATTTGATATAAGTGTCTCCCTGTCCCTCTCTCTCCCACATTTCTTGCCACTTTTGATTTATTTTCTCCCATATCACACTTTTAACTTCTGCTTTACTAATACTAACTTGCATTTCTATATTTCCTTTTGTTAATGCCCTTTTTGCTAAATGATCAGCCATTTCATTCCCCCTTATCCCTACATGTCCTGGTACCCATATAAACTTTACTTGTCCAACTATTCTTGTTACTGACTGAAGTACTTCCCACAGAATATCTTGACGACTTTTGGATTTGAATGACCGAAGACTTGTTAAAACTGCTGATGAATCTGAGCATAACAATACTTTTTTCTGCCCATCATAATGCAATTAATATAGCCAACATTTCCACTGTTTAAACCCCTAATTGATTAGATGTTCTCCTATTGATTCCTGTTCCTTTATCTGGTATCACCACCCCTAATCCTGTTGCTTCCGTCTCTGGATTCTTAGCTCCATCAGTATAAATCTGTATATATGTATTATATTTTTCCAACAACCGATTTTTGAACAGTCTTTCTAAATTAATTTCCTCCTGAGCCTTCCTTTTGTCCTGTAACACAAACCAGTCTACCGCTGGCCAAACTATCTTCCATGGCGCAATCTCTGGATAAACTATCATGGGACTCATCCTCAAATTATACACTTGTAGTTCTTTGGCTATTTCATTTCCAATCCGTCCAAAATTTTCCTTTAAATTTTTCCCATACTCCCAGCTTTCCTGCAACACTGCCTTAGTGATATGTGAATTATTATGTCCTTTTAAACCAGCCCAATAGTTAGCCATTAACTGTTTCCTCCTTAAATCTAGTGGTAATTCTCCCATTTCTACCTGAATGGCTGCTACAGGAGTTGTTTTGACCGCTCCACAGCATATTCTCAGGGCCTGAGCCTGGATTACATCTAACTTTTTTAACTGAGACTTAGCTGCCGATCCAATTACTACACTTACATAATCTATCACTGATCGTATTAATGCCACATATATTCTTTTCAATGATGATCTACTTGCACCCCATTCTCTTCCCCTCAGACATCTCATCACATTTATCACTTTTTTTTCCCTTTTTCCTCCATTTTTCTGATATGATCTGCAAATGTCAATCGTGAATCCAAACTTACTCCTAAAAATGTAAAAGTTCCAGTCCTCTCTAAATCTCTTCCATACATTCTTAACTTTATGCCTTCCTGAACTCTTTTCCTAGTAAAAAAGACAGATGCGTCTTTTCTACAGAAAATCTAAATCCCCAATCAAAACCCCACTCCACAACTTTATCAATTGCTTCCTGTATTTTTCTGACCACATAATCTATATTCCTTCCTCTCTTCCACAACGTCCCGTCATCTGCAAACAAAGACCTTCCAATGTCTTCTGGAACTTTTTCAAATATATCATTGATCATAATTATGAAGAGTAATGGGCTTATCACACTCCCTTGTGGTGTACCATTTCTAACTATGTATTGATTTGACATGTCTGTCCCTATCCTCACTTGTATTTTCCGTCCAAAAAGAAAATCCTTTACCCAGTTAAATATTTTCCCTCCAACACCCATCTTATTCATTTTGATTAATAACCCCTCCTTCCACATCATGTCGTACGCTTTTTCAATATCAAAAAATACCGCTATTAAAGTCTCTTTATTCGCTTGTGCCTTTCTTATTTCCGTCTCAATTCTTACCACAGAGTCTATTGTGCTTCTTCCCTTCCTAAAACCACTCTGACAACTAGCCAATAATCCTCTTTTTTCTATGGCATGGGTCAGTCTATCTACTATCATCCTTTCCATAATTTTACATAGATTAGAAGTTAAAGCTATAGGTCTGTAACTAGTGGGTTTTGTCGGATCCTTACCAGGTTTTCTTATCGGAATAACTACCGCTTCTTTCCAGGCATTTGGTAATTTTCCTTTCTTCCATACTTTACTATATACCTCAAGCAACTTCAACTTTGATTTTTCCCCCAAATGTTTTGATATGATATAACAAACTTGATCTTTCCCCGGAGATGAAGGTTTTGCTGTTGTTATTGCTCTTACCATCTCTGCCAAAGTAAATGATTCGTCTAATTCATTTTTGGTATCTTCCTTCCTATTTAATTTATGAATATGCTGATTAAACGTTATCAATCTTCTCCTTCTTCCTTCTTCTTCCAAATTTTTTGAACTATGTACCTTTATGAATGATTTTGCCATAATTTCTGCTTTCTCTTTGTTGGAAACTGCTGTTACCTCTTCATATGACATAACTGGGTAATCCCCCTGTCTCCTGTCTCCCCCCATCCTTTTAATCATTCTCCAGACTTCTCCCACCGGCGTAGTTCTTCCTATTTCATCACAGAAATTTCTCCAACTAGTCCTCTTTGCTTGTCGAATTGTTCTTCTAACCACTGCCTGAGCTTTCTTGTACTGGATTAAATGATTCATTGAGTTCTTTTAAGTAATCTAAAAGCTTTGTTTCTGTCTCTTACCGCCTGATAACACTCTTCATTCCACCAAGGCACCAGTTTTCTATTTTCCCTGTTTCTTCTTTTAGGAATAGCTTCCTCTGCTGCCATTATAATAGCTGTAGTTATCTGGTTGTTAACTTCATCTATACTTCCTGAAACCTCAACCCTGATCATGTAATCATCACTCAATTTCTTAAACTTATCCCAATCAGCTTTCCCAAAATTCCACTTAGGAATTATTTCTCCTGGACCTACTTCCAATCTTTGACCTATTGAACAAAAGACAGGGTAATGATCACTTCCCACTGTAGTAGATGTCCAAACTTCCCAATTACTATTTCCAGCCAGTGAATTAGACACTAAAGTTATGTCCAAAGCGGACTCTTTCCCTGTTGATACATTGATTCTGGTTCCTCTCCCATCATTCAAACAGAACAATTCTCTTTCATCCATCAAATCCTCAATTACCTTGCCGTTAGCATCTGTATGTATACTTCCCCATATTGAACTATGCGCATTAAAATCTGCACACCAGATTATTTTTGATCCATCTTGCCCTCCTATCCTTAGTAGGTTATCTAATTCCAATCTTTTCCATGGGTTATAGTTATTAATAATACTAATTGCCCCTCCACTTTCCCACATCTCCAACACTACACTCAAAAAAATGATATGTTGGCTTTACTTAACTTTTTTATGTAAACAGGTTCCACCGGTTCCACATAACTATGTTTCGTTAAACAAACATAATATGTTCATGTAACTTCAACATCATGGAATTTGGTCATTTTAAGCGACCCAATTAAACTCTGAGCTAATGAGTTAATTAAGTGAATAACTGAGTGATGATTGAGCATTATTGAAGACACCTGATGTTAACAAGCAGAATCTCTGAAGGAGAAAACCGGAATGTTTAAGTCACCATTATGGAGATAAGTGTGTGTTTTAGTTGGGCTCTTGACCATTAACTTATTAACTTTAGATTTTGTTTAAAAAAAAGTTAAGTAAAGCCAACATATCATTTTTTTGAGTGTATGTACTCCTGTTCCTCACCTTTCCCAAGTATTCTGTATGGAATTCCTGTCTTTATGAATATGGCACATCCCCCTCCTCCCTCTCCTGTATTCCTATCTCTTCTTATTCCTGTATATCCATGTAATTTAAAATCTAAATTTGGTTTCAACCAGGTTTCTTGCACACACACTACATCTGGCTTTTCATCCACCTCATTCAAAAAATGTTTAAACTCCTGTCCATTGGCCAATAAACTCCTGGCATTCCACTGTAAAATTAAAACAATTATTAATATTACCCAATACATGACACTTCTTGACTTGACTGATTTGTAAGGATTTCCCTTACCTCTTCCCATGTCAGTCCTACTAATCCTAAGTGGTTAACTGCATTTTAATTCATTTTTGGATTTTACTTCTGCTGTACAATTTATCACACCTGCTATAAAAGTAACTAGTTCCATTTTTGTCACATACATTCCTTCATGGTTACTTTGTTGTTGCTCTTGAGTGACCAAATCTACTTCCTTGTGAGTCATATTTTCCTTCTCTCTTGTTACTTTTACAGCTTCTGCATAAGTAGTTTTCCTTTCCACTCTTATCTTTTGGATATTTGTCTCCCTTTTCATTACTTCACATCCACTAAAAGCCACATTATGGGCTCCTCCGCAATTGCAACATTTTCTGAACCACACATTCCATAGTCATGGTCCCCTCCACATCTTGCACATCTTTTCTGCCTTTTACAGTTGTTTGCTGTATGGCCAAACCTTTGACAATTAAAGCATCTCATTGGCTTAGGAACAAAGATCCTCACTGGATAGCTCATAAACCCCAAAAATACTTTCTTAGGCACTCTCTCTTCTTCAAAATCTATTG